TTTGCAGTATGCGGGCCTCTGACTGTTGTGGCCTCTCCCGTTGCGGAGCACAGGCTCCGGACGCACAGGCTCAGTGGCCACGGCTCACGGGCCCAGCCGCTCCGCGGCACGTGGGATCTTCCGGGACCGGGGCATGAACCCGTGTCCCCTGCATCGGCAGGTGGACTCTCAACCACTGCGCCACCAGGGAAGCCCCCCGCTTTGTTGTTGTTGTTGTTGTTGCCAACATGAAAGCCTTTGTTTTTAATTTGGTTGATACACATTTGACAAAATATTTTAGAATAAAATAATCCATGAACAGGCACAAGGTATTTACAGTAACAACTGTGAAAAACATAAAACTGATGTATTCTTAAACAGTAAAGTCTATTTATAAATTTTTTTGTCGTGAATCCGGAAGACTTTCAGTTCTGCTCATTACCCTGGTCTGAAGCCCCGACAGATGGTGTGTAAGGCCCAGGAGTAGGAGGTGCAACTCTAACACATTTGGCAAGTAAGGACCATCTGTTGGTTTGAGCTCACGGGGAAGTGAAGGGCCAGATCTTGGGGTTAGGTGCCCTTTCTCCTCCCCCTGCTTTCCCTCCTCCCCCTCCCCCTCCCCCCCTAGGGAGCATTTACTGGGCTCTTGCTATATGCTGGTTGCTGTGCTCACTGTTTCTTGGGCTTTAGCTCCTTCCCCACAGCACTGAGTATATTTCTGGGCACACACACAGTAGGTTTTTGATAAATGTACCTCCATCTTGTGCCTCAATGACCTCTTTTTTTGTGGCAAGCATTAGAACCCAACTTAGGCAGAAAGGGGAAGTTACGAGCGGGTCCTGGGGTCTCGGGTCACCGTACTGCGGGGAGAGCAGACCAGCCCGCCCTCAGCATTTGCTCTCAGCTTGCCTCTGCTGTTGCTGTCACGCTCTGCAGAGCTGAATTTCGTCACTCAGTGGGAACTCGGCCACTGACAGTCCCCAGATTTCACACCAGAGAGAGGGAGTCTCTTGCCCCAGCTCTGGTGGGACAAGCCCAGCCCTGTCCCTCTATCTCAGGTCAGCTGAGCTGACAGTGGCCGGGAAGCAGGGGACATGGTGTAGTCCTGACTGCTGGAGGACCGTTCCCAGAGAATCCAGAGCTCTGTGAGTCTGTCCCCTGGGGCCTTCCAGGTGGTGACAGGCTCCTCCATGTCACTTGGGCCTTTACCTGGCCCTGCTTCAGAATCAAATGGCCAATAGTGGCCTCACTGCCCTCAGAGCCTGTTGGGATTGGGCCTGGGCCTGGCCTGGAGGCCACAGAGCGGGAGCCCTCTCAGCTGGACACCTGCCTCGATGGGTAATATCAGAGCCAAGAGCCAGGTGAAGACTGAGCCCTACTGGAGACGGTCCTCAGGCCCGCCTGGACCCCAGGCCCACCTGGAGAGTACACCAGCTCCATGGACCTCACGCAGCCTGCTTGGGTGGGGCTTGTGCGGGGCTGTGACAAGAGGACCGAGGACTGTTCTGTGGCTGACTCTTGCAGGAGAGCTGTAGGTGCACCTCAACACCCAGTTCAACAGTAATCATAGTCCTGAGCCAGGCCCTGGGCTTTCCATGTATTGTCTGATGTGTCCCCACAGCCATCCTGTGACGTAGGCACTGTTGGTATCCCTGTTGTACAGATCTGGAAACTAGCTCCAAGGGGTTCAGTGATCTGCCCAAGCTACGGAGTAATGTGCTGGGGCTGGGATTCGTATCAACCCCACACCTCAACAAAGATTCATCACAGGAGAAAAATAAAGGGCTTCATGTGGAATCCTTTCTGTGCACTCACTTTAATTCTCACAACAATCCCCTGAGGCAGACCCTGTAATTATTTCCATTTTACAGAATAGGAAGCTGAGGCCCTGAGTGGTTAAGTCACTTGCCCATGATCACCCTGCTTGCAAGTGGCAGAGCCAGGGCTCACAGGCATGTCCCTTTGACTCCAGCTTCTGTATACATAACCACTTCCCCGCCATGGTCTGCACAAAGTGTGTCTTAATAACCCTACAAAGCGGCTAATGGTCTGATTAGCAAAAATCCAGTTAGTGGATTATTAAGATGATTTCATATTATTATTAGCATTTTGTATGAGGTAAAGTCAGCCTCATACAAAAAGTAGGTTTTCTTACCACTTAAAGGGCCTATTTTTGGAAAAATCTGACCCTGTGTTAGAGAGCAGAGGGCTATTTTTATCTGACTGGCGTGGGTCCCTTGCGGCCTCCAGAGTTTTTATGGAAGCAATTAGCGACGGCCATCCACCTGTGCCACGTCCCATTCTTCTGGCTCTGGTCACATGCAGATCTAAAGTTACAGGAGGGCCACTGGGGAGACTGTGGACTCACCACCCTCCCTCCCTCCCTCCCCCCAGAGATTTCAGACAAATTGCCAGGCATCTGCCCTGTCATCCACGAGAGAATATCATCGTCATTAAGGCGGGTGCCCTGTACCACCGGGTTCCACACTTGAAATTGAATTTTCCATTTGCAGCTTCATTTTGGAGGGAATTTACTTAACAAGTTTACAGAGACCCTAATCGTATCCTCGCTGTAATACCCTCCGGAGGTCCGCAGCTGGGCAGCCTTGCGGTGCATTGTGTTCCTGACTGACTGCTGGCTAATAACGATGTTTCTCTCATTGTTCTAGTGCCCTGGAGGCAGCAGTTTCTCTTGGGGGCGAAGACCTGACCCCATTCTATGGTCTGGTGTCTGGTGGCAGGGAAGGAAAATTCTACAGGGTAACTATCCTCAGAGTAAACACTTCCTGGTAACATCTAGTTAAGTCTGTAAAACAGATGTGCCCGGGGTTAACCTTCTTGCTTTTTGCCAAAGCTGTTTTCCCCACTGAGCTTAAAATGTACTTTCTAGAAAATGTCCTTGAAGTCTAAATGGCTGCTTCAGACTTAAGCCAAAAATGCATGTTGTGTTTCCACTTCATTTCCACATAGGAGCTGGAAGACTATTTTTACTATTCTCAGCTCCGTAGTCAAGGTATTGATACAATGGAGACCAGAAAGGTGTCGGAACACATCTGCCTATCGGAGCTTCCTTTTGTCATGAGAGCAATTGGCTTTTACCCATCGGAAGAGAAGGTAGGTAGAATGAAAACAAGAACAGCCGTGCGATGTGTTATTTATAAAAACGACCTCAGGGAGCAATCATTATAGGTCAAAGTAAAAATTTAACACTATTCTTACGTAAATGGATCAGAAAGGAGGTCCTGGGCATAGCAGATGCACTGCTTAGAAACAGACTTGCCATAAAGATATTCTTGTAAGGCGGATTCCTTACCAGAGTTTGATGTGGGTAAGAGCATGGGCTTTGGAATTAGACAGAAGGCCCCTAGCTACATGAGGACCAGCCTCATCCAGTTCAAAGAGTTGATGCCCGCACAGCACTTGGCACAGAGTAGGCTACGTAGGAAGAGCTCAGTAAATGCTCGCTGTTGTGATCCTTTCCCTGTAGTTGCCATTCACCTGGCCTGTGTGAATGGGCTGCTCCTGCGAGGTGGGTGCTCATCCCGGGCTGCGGATGGAGCTCAGGAGATGCAGCCGCTCCTCAGAGCCTCGTAGCACACCCCATCTGTAAGGGGCTCCCAACAGGGACCAGAGGAAATGGTCCTCGTGGAAACTGGGGCTTAAAATGCAACTGATTGGGTTCTCTTACTGGAAATGCTAACACATTCTTATCGTAGAAAGTTTGGAAAAGATACACAAGTGGAATGAAGAAAATAATTACCTATAATCCCAGTACACAGAGACAACAGTTATTGGTATCTTCCTGGATTGATTTATATATAATGTGTATATATATATATATATATATATACACATAATTTTAAAAAAACTAATGGGTACCATATTGAATATATATTTTTATCCTATATTTTCACTTGATATTATGTAATACGCATTTCCCATTTCATTAACAATTCTCTGAAAACTTGATTTATAAAGGATATAGCTTAATTTTAAAACTTTGTCTGATTTAGAAAATAGACCTGTAAAGAAGAAAATAGAAATGCCTCAGAGGTAATCATTATTAACATTCTGGTGGACTTCCTTCTATTGTTTTATGTTTAGATATAGATAAACAAAGGATTGTCATTATATGGTGTATATAGGTATATATGTCAACGTTTTGCAGAGTACGTGTGTATGTATATGTATATGTGTATAGCAACATTCTCAGTAACTGTTGTTTTGTGAGCATGTGGTGAAAATTCCTCGATAATATGCTTTTTACCCCTGGCTTTATTAAGATATAATTGACATATAACATTGTGTGCATTTAAGATATTCAATATAGTGATTTTATATACGTATAAATTAAAAAATTATTACCACGGTGTGGTTAGTTAACACATCCATCCCCTTGCATAGTTACAATTTTTTGTGTGTGATGAGAACTTTAAAAATCTACTATGTTTGCAACTTTCAAATATACTGTACTGTATTGTTAACTAGAGCCCCCATGCTGTACCTTACATCCCCAGGACACGTGTATCTTATAATTGGGAGTTTGTACCCTTTGACCACTTTTCACCCATTTCTCCCACTCCCCACCCCCTGCCCCTGGCAACCACCAATCTGTTTCTGTTTCTGTGAGTTTGTTTGTTTTTGTTTTTGTTTTTGTTTGCAGTACGCAGGCCTCTCACTGTTGTGGCCTCTCCCGTTGCGCGCAGGCTCAGCGGCCATGGCTCACAGGCCCAGCCACTCCGCGGCATGTGGGATCTTCCTGGACCGGGGCACGAACCCGTGTCCCCTGCATTGGCAGGCAGACTCTCAACCACTGCGCCACCAGGGAAGCCCTCTTGTTTTCTTGATAAAAGCCATTCTGACAGGTGTGAGGTGATAGCTCATTGTGGTTTTGACTTGCATTTCCCTTATGGTTAGTGATGTGAGCACCTTTTCATGTACTTATTGATCATTTGAATATCTTCTTTAGAAAAATGTCTATTCAGGTCTTCTGCCCATTTTTTTAAGTGGGTTATTTGGCTTTTTGCTATTGGTTGTGAGTCCCTTATGTATTTTAGATATCAACCCCTTATCAGATATGTGTGGTTTGCAAATATTTCCTCCCATTCTGTAGGTTGCTTTTTCATTTTGTCGATCGTTTCTTTTGCTGTGCAGAAGCTTTTTTTTTTTTTGCGGTACACAGGCCTCTCACTGCTGCGGCCTCTCCCACTGCGGAGCACAGACCCTAGATGCACAGGCTCAGCGGCCATGGCCCACGGGCCCAGCCACTCCACGGCATGTGGGATCCTCCCGGACCGGGGCACGAACCCGCGTCCCCTGCATCGGCAGGCAGACTCTCAACCACTGCGCCACCAGGGAAGCCCTGTGCAGAAGCTTTTTGGTTTGCTATAGACAACATGCTTTCGAAAGGCTGTATACTCAGTTGATCCATTCCCCAGTTGACAGACACATAGGTTGTCTGAAGTATTTTGGCTGTCAGAGACATGGCTGTGATGCACATCTCTGTGTATGGTTTTTACATACTTCTCTGATTATTTTCCTGGGTCAGAGTCCTAGAAGTAGAATTACTGGGTCAGAGAATATGAACTTTAAGGCCCATTGCCAAATAGTTTTCCAGAAATGTAGCATTTTGCAGCTCACCATCAAACATACATAACTCCTGAAACCCAGCTAAGACTCAATGTTCACATTAGGTGTCCGAGCACATTTTAGTGATGTGAGCTGTGGTCCCAGTCATTTCCCTTGGCTTCAGTGGCCTACCCAGAATCACCTTTTTTTGGGTGCTCCAAGTATGACTGGAAGGTGACTTTTATTCTCCAAGTAGCATCTGGAGAAATGAGTTTTCAGAGCCCATAAACCCAGCTGAGTCTTGAATGAGTACCTTAAAAACATCAGGGAGACTTCCCTGGTGGCGCAGTGGTTAAGAAGCCACCTGCCAGTGCAGGGAACACGGGTTCAAGCCCTGGTCCAGGAAGATCCCACATGCCGCAGAGCAACTAAGCCCGTGCACCACAACTACTGAGCCTGTGCTCTACAGCCCACAAGCCAAAACTGCTGAGCCCCCGTACCACAACTACTGAAGGCCACGCGCTCTAGAGCCCGTGCTCTGCAACAAGAGAAGCCACAGCAATGAGAAGCCCGCGCACCACAACGATGAGTAACCCCCGCTCGCTGCAACTAGAGAAAGCCTGCGTGCAGCAGCAAAGACGCAACGCAGCCAAAAAAAGAAAAAAGTCAGGGATTCTTTAAGCTCCTCAAAAGGTCTTTTGACCAGTGTTCATTTTGTAAAAGTATATGGTCAGAAACAGAAGCAACTACCCGTAAAGTTTGTGCAACCCACATAAAAGTGTTCCCTAGAGCTGTGTTTCTAAAGCATGTTCCTTAGAACATTGTTTCCCAAACTGGCAACCTGCAACAGAATTACCTGGAGCATTTATTAAAAAATCAGATTCCTGGGCCCCATCCCAGACCTAGCCAATCAGAATCTCAGTGTATGGGGCCTGGGAGTCTGCATTTTCCACTTTGCCCCTTACCTGGTAGTCCAGCCGGGAAGAGGCCCTCCTCCACAGTGCCGCAAAGACTCAGTTGCTACCTGCAGTGTCTAAGGATCATATTCATATGAAACTCACCAAAATGCCATCATGGGGGCTTCCCTGGTGGCGCAGTGGTTGAGAGTCCGCCTGCCGATGCAGGGGACACGGGTTCGTGCCCCGGTCCGGGAAGATCCCACGTGCCGTGGAGCGGCTGGGCCCATGAGCCATGGCCGCTGAGCCTGCGCATCTGGAGCCTGTGCTCCGCAACGGGAGAGGCCACAACGGTGAGAGGCCCGCGTACCGCAAAAAAAAAAAAAAAAAGCCATCATGAGCCAGATGTCTCACATTTCCTGTAAGCACTCAGGAGCCTCTCTCTGATGGCTGCAGATCCAAGCCTTCCTACTAGGGAAGCAGCACTGGGTAGCGGCTGGGAGCACAGGCTCCTGGGTCAGGTGGCTCTGGGTTTGACTCCTGACTATAACCACTCGCCAGCTGTGAGACTTGGTCAAGTTTCTGAACCTCTCTAAGCCTCAGTTTCCTCATCTGTAGAATGGGGCTAATAGTAGTACCCAGCCCCTGGAATTATTGTGACGATTAAATGAGTATCTGATTAATACAGTACAGGGCACATGTTAAATGTTTGAAAAAACACCATCCAGTGTTATTACCTCCACCATCCATCCTGTCCTCGTCTCTGGATGTGTGATTATAAAAGGCCTTTAGATGAAGGTCTCTGTGACCCTGTGGATCTTTGTTTATAATACCCTCTCTAAAATCAGTTTTTTATTTTCTTGATTTGTCTGGTAAAGAGACTTTATGTAAATGGCCGAAAGTCATCATGCTGATGGCAGCCTTCTCACTCAGGATTCTTGATTTTAAACCCTGGGCCCGTGTAAATGTGTCCTCTGCAGTCCTGCTTTGTCGATAAGGGAATTCTGGGTGTTTATCCTTTGTGACTGTCACCCACCTGCCACATGAATCGCTGAAGGAGGAGGGTGGCACAGAGTGGCTGTGGTTTTTCTGCTTCCTCTAGAAGTACGAAGTGTAATTACCAAAGGCTCACTCCGTTGTCCTATCATTGGCCAAAAATAATAAAGCTTAACAACCTATCGAAATCTTGCTGATGAGTAAAAAGTACCCAGAGGGACTTCCCTGGTGGTCCAGTGGTTAGGTCTCGCTGCTTTCACTGCCAAGGGCCCCGGTTCAATCCCTGGTTGGGGAACTAAGATCCCACAAGCCACGCAGCGTGGCAAAAAAAAAAAAAAAAAGTACCCAGAAAAAAAGGTTAGTCTGCAACAAATGTTATAAAGTGACATGGAATATTATTTTACCCACATTAAAATGGTCATTGCAAGGTTGTCACTGACTGTTGTGTCACTGACTGTTGTGTCCCCCCCCACCAGCTGCTAAAAAGGGGTTTCAGTGCCCCACTCAGTGTCTTCATAAGTCCCCTGGAGTCCAGGGTTTTTAATCCACTTAAAAAATAAATTTACTCTTTGGAGATGTTTTCTGAAGGCCCCCGATCCAGATGTGGCCACATCTGAGTGCAAACACTGTTCGCTGATGAATTAGTTTATATCT